ACAGACTGTGCCTTTTAAGGTCCGGAACAAAGAGACAGTGCCAAATTTTGATCGCAGTCAAATTGGCAAGGAGGCGGACCTTTGCCTGCGACAATCGATTTCCTGCACATGGGAAGATGATGTGGAATCACAAGCTAACAAGATTGCTAGTCATTTCCGCCAACACCTTGCGTCATGCTATCCAAAGGCGAAACAGGGACCAAAAAAGCCGTATGTCTCTGAGACCCTCTGGAAGATGAGAGCCCAAAAGATAGCTTTGAGAAAAAAGCTGCGAGGCTGCCGAGGATTGATTCGCCGAGAAGCATTGACACGGGTTTTCCTTGCATGGAAATTGGGCCAAAGCCAGAAGCAGCTTTTTGATCTCTCCTTTAATTATGGCACCTCCCTCCGTATAGGATGTTTCCATAGCTATATTGCGTTCGCAACAATTTCAGCCCAATTGAGAAAGGATCTCATGCACAGTCGAACGCAAAAGCTTCAACAGGTCCTGCAGCAGATAGACTCTGCCACACCAGCATCCAGGATCCAGCAGCTCTTGAAGCCATTCAAAGGACCCAGCAACAAGTTGCGCCAGGGACTTGCCCCTCTACCAATGATCAAGGATGCCAGAGGTGATTTCTGCCGCACAGCGGAAGATGCATTGCAACGCTGGATCGCTTTCTTCGGAGACATGGAGGGTGGCCAGAGAGCCTCACAACAAGACCAATGGCAAAGATGGCGTGCCAATCTGGAAACCTTCATACAATATGAAGCTGTAATCCCGATTGAAGAAGTTCCCACGCTTTGTGACCTGGAACAAGCATGCCGGACGGCTGCAGCCGGGAAAGCGACTGGAATCGACGCAATCCCTTCAGAAATCTGCAAATTTTGTCCACAGGCCGTAGCACTGCACCTTTATAGTCTGATGCTCAAAACCTGTGTGCACGGGCAAGAAGCTTTGTCGCACAAGGGAGGGATTTTGCTCCCGATTTGGAAGGGAAAGAATTTGAAAGATCAATGTTCAGCATTTCATTCGATCCTTTTGTCGTCTTGTCTTGGCAAAGTCATGCATAAAGCTGTCCGCACGAAGCAATTGGACTTGTACCAATCATTTTTGCATAGCCAACAATTGGGAGGACGACGAGGTGTGCCGGTCACCTTGGGAGGCCATCAGGTGAGAGCTTTCCAACGTCACTGCGCACAGTTGGGCACACCCTCGGCGCTCCTCTTCATTGATTTACAAGAAGCATTCTATAGAGTTCTCAGACCGCTTGTGGTTGATGGCCCCATTGATGATGCCTCCATTGCTGCTATGGCAGCGCGCATTGGCCTTGATGTAGGATTCCTTCATGACCTTCATTTGGCCCTTCAACAGCCAAGTGCACTGCAGGAAGCCGGCATCCCGAGACACCTACAAAGAGCGATCAGAGCTTTACATACTGACACCTTCTTCAAGCTGCCCACGCAGCTCGATCAAGTGGTCACCCAACTTGGTACGCGCCCAGGCGACTCATTTGCTGATGTTATCTTTGGATATCTCATGGCCAAAGTGCTTCAGAAATTTCAGCATGCCATGGAAGCACAGGGGCTCCTTTTGCAAGTGCCGGCTGTTGAAACCCTGAGCTTTGAAGGTGCCTCGCATACCGAAGTGCTACCCTTTGTAGGGCCATGCTGGATGGATGATCTCTGTGTGTGCCTCACTGCCGCCACGAACACGGCTCTGCAGTCTGCTTTGGGGGTTGCCACAGGTTTGATTCTTGACATTTTCAAGAGCTATGCCATGACACCGAACCTGCAACCAGGGAAAACAGCAGTTCTTATTACACCACGTGGACCTGGTACTCAAAAGTGGAAGAAAGCCATGTTTGGACCCGTTGCTGATGGGCACTTCCTGAGTCTTGGTGAACACCATCCATACAAAGTTCCCATTGTGACAGAATACACGCATTTAGGCGGCAAAGTGCACTTCTCAACCAAGCTCAAGCGTGAGATCAAAGCCCAACTTGGACAAGCACATCAAGAATTCAACCGCCACAGGAAATTGCTTTACCACAACAAGCATTTCCAAATTGAAAAGAAGAAGGAACTTTTCCAAAGTTTGATTCTCAGCCGTCTTCTCTTTGGCGCTGAGACATGGACCTTCCCAGACCAGAAGACTAAGGAATACTTGCATGGAAGTATCATCAGCCTCCTCAAGAGACTCCTATGTTGGCCTGGGCAATGCCCGATTTCCGATGAGGAAGTTTTGTTCCGCACACGGATGCCGTCACCTACCACCTTGTTGCGACTTCGCAGATTGAGATATTTGGGCTCGCTGCTTGCTGTTGGTAACACCGCTTGCTGGGGACTTCTCAATCAAGACCACGACTGGCTAGCCTTGCTGAAAGATGATTTCCGCTGGATGTGGCATCAACTTCACCATTGCTGCAGTCTTGGCGACCCCGCCACACATCTTCCGAGATGGCTGGAGGTTATCAGGTACCACAGAGGTTACTGGAAAAGACTCATCAGAAGAGCCAGTGAACACTCCATAGGAGTCCAGGATCGAGAGTTTCTCGTTGCTACGACCCATCTGCGCTTTCTTTCCAGTTTGGCTCATGGACAGTTTGTGGAATCTGTCGACCCTACTGAGCAATGGCAAGATAGACCGAGTCCTCAAGCTTTTGGATGCATGTATTGTGGCAAAGCATGCAGATCGCTGGGTGGTGAAGGAGCGCACATGCACAGAGCGCATGGGGAAGTCAATCCTGTGAGAAGACTGATGGGCAACACCCAATGCAGTGCGTGTTTGACGGAATATTACACCATGGGAAAGCTCAAAATGCACCTCTGTAGATCCTTAACATGCAGAACCACGTTGTTGGGAAGGGGCCACCGGGAAGTTGTGCAACCGGGTTTGGGCTCGATTGAGGATACAGAAAGATGGACACAATGGGATAACAAGATCCCTCCTCTTGCAGCAGAAGGACCACAACTTCCGGCTGTATTAGGGCGTGATTTTGAGGTGGAGCACAGGGCACTCTATGAGGCGATCATCTTAGGCATTCTGGACATTGACACGGTTTCCTACGAGGCCTTTGTTCGCCGCATCATTCAGGAACAACCCATTTCATGGACGAGGTGCCGACAGACACTACAGGAAGCGCAGCGGCAGATTCAGGCCGGTTTCCTTGATGTGGATACAGTCCACCTCAATACATGTTTGGATATCTTGAGACGGCTTGCCACGACAGACGCATGGCCGTTCCTTGACCAGTTGCAGAGCAGATCACCACCTACAGTGCCTTCCATGGATGAGATTGACCTTCAGGTAGCTGAGACTCAGATCCTTCCAAACCGACAAGCTGTTCCGAGGCCAGTCGGCAAAGAACGAGTGTTCTTGCATGCGTTCTCGGGTCGTCGACGTCCTGGAGATTTGCAACACTATCTTGAGGCTGCTTTTGCTCGACAGGCAGAAGGAGTGGTGCTGCACGTTGTCTCCATGGACGTGATTATTGATCGACAATGGGGCGATGCGTGCCGACCAGAGACGAGAGACTTCTGGCTCCGTGGAGCGCTGGATGGTTTTGTCCAAGGAGGGCTTTGCGGCCCCCCTTGTGAAACTTGGAGTCAAGCGAGGTTTGTGGAAGCAGAAGCTGAGCAAGGGAGACAACCCCGCCCCTTGCGCTCACTGGAGTAGCTATGGGGACTTCCTTCACTATCTCTTCGAGAAGTGGGACAAGTCGCGGTGGGCAACGAGCTGCTCCTTTTTTCCATTGATCTTTTGATCTGCCTGGCACGATCTGACGGCTTAGGAGTGCTTGAACACCCCGGCGAACCAGCGGATGAGTCTAAACCATCCATCTGGCGATTGCCAATTGTACAGCTTCTCGGACAGCTGCCAGGGTTTGAGTTTGTCGACTTTGCACAGGGGCTTCTCGGAGCGAAGTCTCCGAAGCCTACTCGCTTCCTCACCCTTAACATGGACAGTCTGCCTCGTTTTTTGCACAGTCATCGCTTGTGCCCTGATTTGCCGCGTGGCTCAGCGATCGGACGCTTGCAGGATGGCCAATGGGCTACCTCCAGTTTGAAGGAGTACCCACCGGCGCTGAACAGGGCGCTTGGTGAAAGTTTTGCTCATCATCTTCTGCAAATGTCATGTCATGGTGATTCTGTGATTGACGCGGAGTTCTTAGACCGTTGTCGTTCCATGCATGTTGACCAGTTTGGGGAACACTTCGGGCCTGATTACCACTACCAACACAGACAGTCGCACAGAAGATGAGAGCATTTTGTCCCTTCAACTGCACAGTTCAGAATTCAACCGCTCGCCGCGACTTAGATAGTCCCAAAAGGCCGTAGCAAAAAAAATATGTGTATATGTGTATATGTGTATGTGTGTATGTGTGTGTATATGTGTATATGTGTACATATGTGTATATATGTGTATATATGTGTATATGTGTATATGTGTATATGTGTATATGTGTATATGTGTATATGTGTATATGTGTATATGTGTATATGTGTATATGTATATGTTTATGTATACGTATATGTGTATGTCTATGTATATGTATATGTATATGTATATGTATATGTATAATTATGTATATGTATGTATATACACGCTTGATGCATTCTTCTGAACACTCGACTACCAAACTGACAACACCGGTCAACTGCCCCTCAACAACACACGCACAATGTTAATTGCACTACATAAACGACTATATACTGCTCTGCACTTTGGGAGTTACAACAAACAGTTGTGTGTGAGAAAAAAACTGCATAGTGTCCCTTGTCGCAGGCGAAGGAACTGTTTTCTTTGATGTCTTGGAGTTTGGTTCAGTTTGAGGCCTGTTCTCCAGATGTTTGAACAAAACAGCAGCAACAAAGGCATCCATACTCTCTGGACAGAGGTGTCAGTGGTACTGAAGCACTGCCAATCAGCATGGTTGACTGGCCTGATGAACGAAGATGGTCATTTCAAAAGGTATCGCGACGGCTCATTTCGTTGGGCAGTGTGATGAAGATCCAAGGCAATCTGAGCCAGAATGGTGCACCAACAAGTTCTTCAAGCAGGCTCAACAAACTATTCGTGCTCACTCTTGGCACCAGCCATTTGGCGAAAGTCGATCGGTCCTGCTTGCTCTACAGGCTTCTAAAGAATTCAGCAAAACTCAAAAAATGTGTATAGTTTTTTTTTCATTTTGCGAATCGTTCCGGTGGTTTGATGTTTGTGTAGTATGTTTAATTGGGGGGACCACACAACATGAGAACAACATGGTGAACACCTGCCGCAATTTGGCAGGTGTTAGCTCCAAATCGCGCAAATACTGGTACCATGTGAAACGCAAGATTTTAGCTTCCAAATGCCGCAAGTATAAGGCAACCAGGAATCCGAAAACAAATCCCCAAACGAATACGCACCCAGAAAGAACAGTAACCATGTTGAAGCCAAAGCCATTGTGCAGGCTTACATCCGTGGACGCCGTTGTGGAATGGAAGAGACCTCTGAAGACACCGACCTGAAAGTCCATGCAGGCAAGACGAGTTCAAAAGGACGCCCTAATGCACTGTACAACCGGAATGTGTGGTATATATTTGCAGGAGAGCATGCGACCGCGTGTCAAAATTGTTTGAGGTTTGAAGCATGGCATTTGGAGTTGACTTGTTTGAGCATCCTGTGTCACTAGTTCTATTGCATTTTGCAGCACTGTGCGCCTGTGATATGTTGCTGCTAAATTTTGCTAAATTGTTATTATGTTGTGATTGTATTGTTATTATATGTTATTGTATGTTGGACATATTTGCATGTTATTTTCATTGCAATGTCTGCCTGCTTGTTCATTCCCTGTGCAGCTCTAAAACCGTGCCGTGCAGGCGGTACATTCACTTACAGCCACAAATTTCACGACCACGATGCTGAGTGCGGCTACAATCATGATACGTGCGGCTCCAAGTCCATGGTCTGTTGTCTACACAGCATGTAAATTAAAGGACAAAGCGCGACTCATGACCAAGCAAATTGGCGCGGACCATCGTGCCTGCAGCATCATAGCTCTACATCTAGATGGACAAAGCACAAGTAGATTCAGTCTTGCACGATGAACACAACAAAAGTCAATCAATCAGATTGACCCGCGAAGGTATTCACATTTTGGTTTGTCAAGTTTTCACTGGTGTTGCAGAGTTTTTAGCCAGAGAGTTACTGCAGCTGAAGGAACGTCACAGCGAAAGGCCAATGGAAGGTCCGCTGGGATGCTTCAAAGAAAGTTGAGGCTGGTCAAACTGTCCCCAAGCTCAAGGCATTGAGTTGAACAGATCCGAAATGCTGCAATCGTCATGCCTTTGTTTTCTTTATTTTTGTATGTTCTCAGAGCTACATATACCAGACTGTTCGTTCTTTAGGTATCGCAAAATATCCCAAATTGATGTATATATATATATTATATATATCGGTTTGCCAGTCTTTATTGTATGTCATGCAAAAAATAGTTTCGGACTAGACCCAAGTCCTGATGTAGCAGGTTCCTTGCAGAAATACGTGGAAATATCAAGATTGTTGACGTGAACGCAAACATGTCCTGCACACGTGTGAATGTTACAGGCCTAGCAAATGGCAGAATATTTGGAAGCATTTGACTCATTGTGCACCCCGTGAATTCACAGAGGCCTTGATCATGGAACAGATAGCCGCAGATAGCAGATAGCCCCAGCCCCTAGGATGCTACTGATTTTGCTCTTCATGCCTCCATCACACTTCACGCCGCCACTATGAATTCCTTTTGGACTGGACAGGTCCTAGAACTCAAAGGAGAAGCGACCAAACATGACAGGCAGCATGTTGGCAGGCTGGTTCTGACAACCCAAACTGACTGCCACCACAACAGTGCAGAAATACCAAGAACAACGTGAACAAATACATGAAAATACTATGCACCCAATTTCTGGAATTTGGCTCTTGGAATTGCTTAGTCTTGAGATGTCTTGAGTGTTTTGTTACATTTGTCTTGCATGTCCCATCCAAAGTCTATCAGCCGAGTACAGAATCCGTTTCTTACTTTTTGCGGAATTCAAGTTGTGCCGGGCAGCGATGGAAGCCACAACATGTAGGAACAACTACATGACTATACTGACTGGTCTTTTTCCAATCTTGTTTCACTCTGTGGCCAATCAGGGGATGTTATGATGACTGGGACCGCGACAGCAACGACGGCGAAGGTGAGCCTGACGAAGAGGAAGAGGACATGGGTTGCGGTGGCTTCAGATGGCTTCACAAGCTGGCGAAAATTTGGTGTACGACGGTGTACAACAGCGTACGTGTGTTGTAAGGTGATCAAGGTGTGGCTTACGGGGTGGCACCTTTGGCGATGTCAGTGCTCATGTCATGTCCTGCCAACTCTGCTGAAAGTTCCGCTGTGCAATATATTTTTCTAGTTTTTAATCACTAAGCACACATAGATTGCATTGCATTGTCTTGCAATATTTTTTTAGTTCGCAAATCAGTGTGCTGCGCGTAGATTACATTGCATTGCATTACATTGTATTCCAATATGTATATATATATATATATGGGTACGAGTCAAAATACAAGGTATGGATCAAGGCCCCGGACCCACACACGATCCATACCCCCCGATCCATACCTTGATCCATACCCCATGATACTGCATGATCCATACCCCTGATCCATACCCCTGATCCGTACCCCTTTCTCGTTGAAGAAAGACTCATGCTGGCCCTAATGCTGCTTTTTATCCTAATACTGCTTCTGGTCCTTGTACTGCTACTCCCGTTGCTGCTACCGTTGCTTCTACTGCTGCCTCCGCTGCCTCCGCTGCCTCCGCTGCCTCCGTGCTGCTGCTGCTGCTGCTGCTGCCGCTACTAGTCATCTTCCTCCTAGGAGCTGCTGCTACTGCTGTCGCTTCTGCTGCTGGTCCTGCTCCCGCTGCTGGTGCTGGTTCACTTCCTCCGAGTGCTTCTGGTAGTTGGACAAATGCAACTAGTTGACTAGCTACTAGCAATACTGCAAGTGCACCTTGGAGGCTAGTAAGATCGGTTCTATTTCGACTAGGTGCTTCTTGTACTTCTATAGTGGCGCTATGATTACAATTCCTTCTGTTTCTGCTTTGCCTCGCACGTGTAGAACTAGACCAGACTAGAAATACCCCGCTCTCTTCCTTCACAGCCATAGCGGGAAAGCCGGCCCAGATAGCGTGTCCCGATCCATACCCTGATCCATACCCGTTCCATACCCGTTCCATACCCGATCCATACCCGAACCCAGTCACGCCACAACAAATGCCAATATGAAAGTCCGATTCGATTACTACTTCTACTTCTACTTCTACTGCTGCTGCTGCTGCTTCTACTTCTACTTCTACTTCTACTTCTACTACTACTGCTGCTACTACTACTACTACTCCTCCTACTCTTAGTACAACTGCAGCTGCTGCTGCTGCTGCTGCTACTGCCATTAGATTACTATTATTACTATTATGACTTTTACTAGTACTACTGTTACTGCTACTGCTATTTCTACTGCTACTGCATCTCCTCCTTCTATTGCCACTACTGCTGCTGGTGCTGTTTTTTTTAATGCTCCCTCCACTAGCAGTGGTAGCAGTTTTAGCAGCAACAGTAGCAGGAGGAGAAGTAATAGCAACCTTGGTAGGAGATAGTAGGAGTATCAGCACAGTTTGTATGCTATGATGAGCCCTTACGAAAGGGTACGGATCAGGCACCTTACGTAAGCATTCCCGATCCATAGTACGGATCACCGCGGAGCGATCCATACCCGATTTTTGACTCGCACCCATATATATATATATATATGGGAATATAGTTTCGAATCAATGAGGACATATAGATTGCATCGCATTGCATTACATCGCATTGCAAAACATTTTTTAGTTTCAAGTCAACAAGCACACATAGATTACATTGCATTGCATTGCAATATTTTGAGTTTTAAATCAAGAAGCACACACAGATTGCATTGCATTGCGCTAATTACATTGCATCACATTGTAACGCAATGAACTGCATTGGCTTGCGTTACAGTACATTACATTGCCATGCATTGCATTCTATTATATACATTGCATTGCATTCATTACATTACATTGAGTTAAACTACTTTACATTTACATTGCATTACATTACATTGCATGGCATTGCATTGCATTGCATGTCATTGCATTGTATTGCCTGACATTACATTACATTACACATCACTGCATGCCATTACATTGCATTGGATTGGGTTGTATTGCATCACATTGTATTGCACTGCATTTGTATACATACAGACATGCACATTTACACATACGGTAGCGACATTTAAATATGTGGAGGGCGGGCCAGACCGCGAGGCCCCAGAGGGAGTACGAAATACCAGTTCGTATATTTAAATGTAGATACCGTACGTTTAAATGAATTGGGTTCCGTATGTTTAGATGGCCGGGCGGGCCAAGGAAAACCTTGACGGAGGTAGTCTAAAATACCTGTTCGTATATTTAAAAGTCCGTATGTTTAAATGTAGTTACCGTACATATATACAAATACCCACACATATATGCATGCACACACATACAATAATATGCATATACACAGATAGACATACATCTGCATGTACATAGACATAAACATACACATATGCATATACATATACACATGCATACATCCATTATACCTGCTTCTGTTTAGGGGTGATGTGTTCGTCGCGTGTGCTTGGAAGGGAACCGCCACCAAAGACAGATCTAGCGAGAAGACGAGAACTAGGTTTGGGGTGAGGAAGCCTCGAAGTTTGCTAGACAAGAAGTGTCCCCTCAGAATGATATAAAAATTATATATATATAAAATTATATATAGAGAGAGTATTTTCTAGACACCACCGTGACAAAGCGACCTACAATCCTACACACATAGCGTGCAGCTATGTCCCGCCACAAAGACAATCCCTTCGGTTGCACTGCCTTTGCAGCCTTGATTCTTGCTGCCTTTTCGTCCCAACACTGATGGGGCGATCGGCTCTTGGGCAATTAGGTGTAATGTGTTTCTAAACTTCAATGCAAAATCATGGGTGTGCGTGTTGGTGTACTTTCCTGCTGGACTATGTTAGTCCAGCAGTATTTGTTTGGCTATCGCATGTTCTTCTTTTGACCCTTGCTTTGAACTGACATGTTTGCTTTGCTTATTACTGTATATATTGTGTTTGTATTGCACATGTTTTTAAAACAACGTCAACAGGCACCTGCTGCAATCCGCTGTGCAGTTTGAGTCAGTTGTTGTTATCTGCAGGTTTGAGTTTTTTTTGCTGAGCTTTGAATGGGCGCTATGTGTAGTGTAGGGATTGTGTTTGGCAATTTTGGATGGTTTTTTGTGGTCTGCTCAGCCAGGACACCAGTGCTGGCGACCGGAACTATGACAGGAGCATATGGTGTGCGATTGGATTGTGGTGTCATTGTTTTGGACACTTACAAACTGGTCCCTTGGGCATCCGGCATCCAGTGTTTTTGCTCACCCATGCATGCTCATTTCTCACCACCGTTTTGACAACTGTTGGTTTTATTGTGACATATATAATTATTTAGGTGTAGGAAGCACTTTACAATGCCCGGCATGTTTTTTTTTGATAGCTGCCCGCAAGATATTTCCAGAATTCATGTTGTTTACCTGACAAGGTGACAAAGTAAGACCACTTCAGTTTACTGTTTTTTCTGTCTATAGAACTGGCTGTAGCCACAGCTCAACTCAGCGACTTGTCACGAGTTGCCAGGACGACGACAGAAGTCTTTTGCATGAGGCTTTCCAAGGCATCGCAAGCTGGAGCGACAGGGACAGGAATGATACCTAGGATTATTAGTGGATGATCTAGGATTGTTTCAGAACATGAACAGAGATGCTAATGCAGCAGCCTGCCAAGTTTTAAGACAGCCATCGCCATTGTTCAAGCATTACCACTGTTTGCTCTTGTGTGCAGCTACGGGTGGTGTGTACACCTACTGCTCGCATGTGATACTAAGATTTGAGTGTGTGTTTTTTCAACATTGTGGTTTTGAGCTTGGCCCAAGAAGGCAGGGATGGCCGATAGGCACGTGGTCGGGTTTCCAGCAGAATTCCTTAGTCAATGCTCCTAAATTTGCAGGCTTCATTGAACCACTGCGCTTCGGATGTTTGAGAGATGTTGAGTCAATTTGGCCAGGATGTCTTGATGACCGAAGATAAAGGACTGCATGGCATGCAAAAATGTGAGGTGACCCTACAGGTATCACATGGTATCACTCACCAGGTTGCCGGAAGTTCCCAAGCAGTTTCCGCCATTTTGTTTTGGTTTGGGTTTTGTTTCTTCAGCCATTGATTTTGATGTTTTTTCAGCGAGGACGGCATACGCGGGGTGGCTGGAAGGTTTCTTCACTCGGTGAATGAGCTGATCACATCCAGGTGCCGCCAACGAAGGAGGTTATTGGTCACTGGTCATCATGGCACTAAGACTATATGATATTGATGATTATTATTAATATGTTATTATTATATATTGTGTTTTATGATTCACAAGAGTAATTAATTGTTAGTCATTCTTTATATATCTATCCTTGGAGAAGTATTGTTGAATTTGTTAGATGCTCAAATGATCACAAGAATGCACGGGAATTCGGATTGTTCTTTCAAAATGACCGTGGCCGCATCAATGGAGAGAACGAGTCTGATCTCAACACCAGCAAGAGCAGGGCTCATAGTTTTCCTGTGCTGGATGCACCTCTGAAGTTTTTCCATGTGCTGTCGAAGCATATCGAATTTAAAGGCCCTTGGCTCCAAATACATCTGACTGAATCCAACTGTACTGTGACCAGTGCAGCCTTCCGCCCAAGGTCGTCAGGAGCGAAACCGGTGTGACTTCTCGGATTGCTCAGCAGAGAAGCCATGTGTACAGTGCTTTAGCTGCTATTGGTTTTGCTGCAACTTCCGGGGCTTGGTTGACCATGGGAAATACAAGACATGTCAACATCGTGAATGAACATAAAATAGAGGACATAACATGACATAAGACATGCATACACGTGCAACATCAATAATTGAAGTTTCCGAAGGTTGGAGTCCCTTCCTCTTGACCTATCTTTGATCATGCTTGAACTCCGGGAGGCTGTCCATAGCTCAACACCAAGGTGGAAAAGACAACGCTTTGACGCAGTAATTTGTTTTCTCTTCATGCTGGTAGAGAATCATGAAGGCCAAGCAAAACTGGCTCAGTACTGGTTGGTAAGAGAACGTGGCTCATTGTGATCCGGAGAAATCTGAACAGCCGAATGGCAGAAACATAAGATCGTATCGAACTCGATATCAGTGGGAAATCGCTGCTCCTGGAAGTGGCAGTATATGGTTAGACCAAAAAAACCCTTGACCCTTGTTTTGGATAGAGAGCGCAAAGCATGGTGCTTACCGGCGTCCTTCTCACTCCAAGAGTGTGAAAGGAGCCAGGGTGCATCAAGCATGTACAGGTAGCGCAACGTGATTAAAACTTGCTGCGGCAACTGCAGGGCTGTGAACATCTTTTCCAGTACCCAGTACAGCTTACAGGCTTACAGGATTCACACTGGAACATTTTCCCACACAGCAGTCTTTGGCGAAGACAGTGTGTTGATCCGAAGATTTGCGGAATTGCGGAATTGTGTTACTAGTCATTGCTAGTATTTTTTTCCTCATGCTTTCCCACAATAGCACGGGTGCCACCCGGGCATTTGAACGAGCACAAAAACAACATCCCCACCAACACGCTGCACTGTTAGACCCCTTTATCTTTCGTTCAACATTGCAGCTTTGTACCCCATGTAGCAATGTTGCTGGCGATCTATTCCAATGTTTTAGAGCATCTCTTGAACATGAAGAGAGTTGATTGAAAAAAATGGTATTTCATCAATTTTCATCGTACATTTCTGCAGAATCACACATGCACAAACTCGCCAACTCGACTAATCTCCGCATCCACCAAAGGAAATCACAGCTTGACGCCTGGAACAAGCAAGGATGCCCAGTGATTTGCCTCGGAGGTATCAAGAACATGAAAACATGGCGTATTTTCCTTCTTTGCTCAACTTTACTCCTTTCATCTCCTTTCATATCCTGTTTCTTTGGATCTTTTGGCGTGTTAAGACTGAATCAAAGCATATCAAAGCTGTCAGATTCACAATTCACGGCGGTGCCATCTCAGTCCACAAGATTCCACCACAGGTCCATGGTCAAGACCTACGACTTGTACATCCCTGGGCAGTACGAAAACTTTGCGGAGCAAGCAACTGAGGCGGGTGACTAGTGGATGTGGAGACACAATGCATAGACACAATTTCGCAAGAAAATTTAGCAAGACAATTGCAGATATTGCAGATATTAAATATTCACTGATCCTAACGAGCTTGGAACATGTGTTTGAACTGGGAACATTTTGCATGCCGATCTTGGCCTGCCACTGCTTTGATGCTTGCCGAATCCTCTATACAGTCTATACAGCACATCCAGCGGATGCAGGAACGAACCGAAAATAAAGGTCAAGGTGTTGGTCAAGGCCGGAGGGAACAAGGGAAATCCACCATGTTGAGAATGGCTTTGAATCAGCCGACTTCCACATCAATCCACATCATATTTCTTGGACAGGTTGCACTGTTGCACAGTTCTTGAAATCATAGAAGCTCATTCCAAAATCGCAGTGGGTTTTGTGCATGCAGGACGACTGTTTTGGATTTAAACGGACATCGAGCTGGTTTGAACAACCAAACTATAGTAGTTTGCCTGTCACCAAAGATGTAGCAAAAGCGCTCTTCCCAGATCCGAGCGGCTCAAGTCTGGCGGGAGCTTGTATGAGACCTGTAAGCCAGAAATGAACAGAAGATATCAGACGCATTTCTGTGAAACATTGAGAAGCCAAGCTTTGGTGGCAAGTTGGTAGCAAGTAACTGGAATATCAGTGTCAGCGGTGACATATGCTGCAGTTGAAGACATTTCACCCTGGACACGTTCAAGAAGCACCATAGAGTATTGTTTGTGGCATTTGATTGCTATTGTGAAGGTTTGGTGTTCATATCTCAATGTTTTGGCAGTTCCGTTGTGACATTGTTTATCGATAGTCTATCCATCATGAGATTGTCTTGTAAAATGCGGTGTATACATACAAATCACCTTTGGTTCCTGCAACGATGGAGATGTGTTTTGAGGTAGAATCGGGCGAGACGCTCAGAGTCCTTGAAAATGAACTGCAAGGCCAAACAGCCAAGGCAGTTAAGAAAGCCTTGGCAGCCAAGGTTGGCATTTCCAGATTCAAGCAAAGATTTCTTGTCAGAGATGGTTCGCGTGAGATCCAGGATGATGAAGTTCTAGCTCCAGCTCAACTTAAGATTCAGCTGGTGGTCTTGGAATTCTGGCCACCTGATGATGAAGAAACACAGAAAATGATCTCAGCATCCAAGGACAACGAACTACTTGCTCTTGAGCAGTTGCTGCGACAGCCACGCAATCCCAATGAGGCAAACAAAGATGGCAAGACGCCGTTGTTTCACGCTGCAGAGCAGGGACATGTCCAAATTGCAGAACTGTTGTTGGAGGCAGGAGCAAAACCAGATGAGCCTGAGTTTGCCCTAGCTTGGACACCTATGTTCACTGCAGCTGAAAATGGCCATCTCGACGTTGTACGGTTTCTAGTCGAAGTTGGTGCAGCCAAAGATCCGGTAGCAAAGAATGGTGCAACACCCTTGATGCTTGCAGCTGCAAATGGCCACCTCGACGTTGTTAGGTTTCTAGCCGAAGTTGGTGCAGCCAAAGATCAAGCAGCGGACGAGGGTGCAACACCCTTGTGGATTGCAGCTCGAAATGGCCACCTCGACGTTGTGCGCTTTCTAGTCGAAGTTGGTTCGGCCAAGGATCAAGCAGATAAAGACGGTGCAACCCCCTTGTTGCTTGCAGCTAAAAATGGCCACGTCGATATTGTACGGTTTCTAGTCGACGTTGGTGCAGCCAAAGATCAGGCAGCAAACCACGGTACAACAGCCTTATTGATTGCAGCTCGCAAAAAGCACCTCGCCACAGTTCGCTGCTTAGTCGAAGCGGGTGCAGCCAAAGATCAAGCAGATGACACTGGTGCAACCCCCTTGTTGCTTGCAGCTCAAAATGGCGACGTCGACATTGTACGGTTTCTAGTCGACGTTGGTGCAGCCAAAGATCACGCAGACAACCGCGGTACAACAGCCTTGTTGATTGCAGCTCAAAACAAACACCTCGCCACAGTTCGCTGCTTAGTCGAAGCGGGTGCAGTCAAAGATCAAGCAGATGACTTTGGTGCAACGCCCTTGTTCATGGCAGCTCAACAGGGCCACCTCGATGTCGTACGGTTTCTAGTCGAAGTTGGTTCGGCCAAAGATCAGGCAGCAAAGAATGGTGCAACACCCTTGATGCTTGCAGCTCAAAATGGCCACCTCGACATTGTGCGGTTTCTAGCCAAAGCTGGTGCAGCCAAAGATCAAGCAGGAAACGAGGGTGTAACACCCTTGTGGATTGCAGCTCAAGATGGCCACCTCGACATTGTAAGGTTTCTAGTCGAAGTTGGTGCAGCCAAAGATCACGCAGACAACCAAGGTACAACAGCCTTGTTGATGGCAGCTAAAAACAAACACCTCTCCACGGTTCGCTGCTTAGTCCAAGCGGGTGCAGCGAAAGATCAAGCAAATGGCTTGGGTGCAACGCCCTTGTTCATTGCAGCTCAACAGGGCCACCTCGATGTCGTACGGTTTCTAGTCGAAGTTGGTGCAGCCAAAGATCAGGTAGCAAAGAATGATGCAACACCCTTGATGATTGCAGCTCAAAATGGCCACCTCGACGTTGTGCGGTTTCTAGCCAAAGTTGGCGCAGCCAAAGATCAGGTAGCAAAGAATGGTGCAACACCCTTGATGCTTGCAGCTGCAAATGGCCACCTCGACGTTGTGCGGTTTCTAGCCAGAATTGGTGCGGCCAAAGATCCAGCAGCAAACAATGGTGCAACGCCACTGTCGGTTGCAGCTCAAAATGGCCACCTCGACATTGTACGGTTTCTTGTTGACGTTGGTGCAGCCAAAGATCACGCAGACAACAATGGTGGAACGCCGCTGTTCGTTGCAGCTCAACATGGCCGCCTCGGCATTGTAAGGTTTCTTGTCGACGTTGGTGCGGCCAAAGATCCAGTAGCAAACAATGGTGCAACGCCACTGTCAGTTGCAGCTCAAAATGGCCACCTCGACATTGTACGGTTTCTTGTCGACGTTGGTGCAGCCAAAGATCAAGCAGACAACAATGGTGGAACGCCGCTGTTCGTTGCAGCTCAACATGGCCGCCTCGGCATTGTAAGGTTTCTTGTCGACGTTGGTGCGGCCAAAGATCCAGTAGCAAACAATGGTGCAACGCCACTGTCAGTTGCAGCTCAAAATGGCCACCTCGACATTGTACGGTTTCTTGTCGACGTTGGTGCAGCCAAAGATCAAGCAGACAACAATGGTGGAACGCCGCTGTTCGTTGCAGCTCAACATGGCCGCCTCGACATTGTACGGTTTCTTGTTGACGTTGGTGCAGCCAAAGATCAAGCAGACAACAATGGTGGAACGCCGCTGTTCGTTGCAGCTCAACATGGCCGCCTCGGCATTGTACGGTTTCTTGTCGACGTTGGTGCAGCCAAAGATCAAGCAGACAACAATGGTGGAACGCCCATGCGGATTGCAGCTCAAAATGGCCACCTCGACATTGTGCGTTTTCTGGTCGAGGTTGATTCATCCAAAGATCAAGCAGATAATGATGGTGCAACGGCCTTGTTGCTTGCAGCTCAATATGGCCACGTCGACATTGTGCGATTTCTACTAGGAAATTGTGCAGAAAATGATGCAACGCCCTTGTTGGGTACAACTCAAAACGGCCACTTCCATTGTGAATCACCTTTGGTTTTCTTAAGGATGTTTTGAACTATTTTGATACTTTCACAGTTTTGCATCCATTTGGATCCATCTGGATTATTGATCGAGAGTCACAACTTTTTTTGGCGCCCTCAATAAGTGGGAAACCTTGGATTTACACCCTTCAAGATATGGCAATTTTAATAGGAGAAATATGCGGCAATGATGATAAACCATTGGATGTGAGGGGTATCATATTTTTCAGGCAAACCCATGTAGATGGTGGACTAGCGGAATCGTACGATTGCTTAAGTCATAAAATTCATCATTTTTCTCCACCTGGTAGTTGAGGGTCTCTAGACTCTAGATTTTGTGTAAGTTTGTCCGTCCTCTTTCCTCTCCCCCTCGCAAAGTCACCAAGCTCATAGCCAACATCGCCAGCTTCCTCGCCAGCCTCCTCTATACCGCCACTCTATCGTAATCTCTCTGGGCCTCGGCGCTGCTCAGCTGTTTGTTTATGTTTGTATCATTTTGTATCTATGATTAGCTTGAACTTGCAGGAACTATGGGCGAGGGCCATGGCGGCGGAGGACTGAACCCTGCACCCATCCAATTGGCAAAGCTTTTGCTAGGATAAGAATGTACCTCAGCATACCATACCCTGCACTGCCACACCCTTGTTTTTTCCCTTGGAGAAGAACTTTGCACCAACAAGGCAAGTTAAGGCACCAGAAGCCGCTCTATTTCAGTTCCAGAACATCAACGCCGAGAGGGATCTCATAGTTTTGCCAAGTACAAGCGGAATCCCTTGCAGCACACATCACATACAAATCCAACATGTGCAATTATATATACTATTAATTAATATTATTAGTATTTATAATATAATAATATAATAATTATATATAATTTACAATATGTGTATATCATATGGGCGGTGACAAGATTTTTGTGTAAGCTCCGAAATTATGCCAGGCCAGTCGGAGGGAGGTCTGCGTCCAAGATATCTCAGGATTGTCCATCGCACTGTTGAGTTCGCCTCAAAGTTCCCCAACCAGATTCAGCTCGATCACGATGTGCAAAGCTGTTCACAATGCCGAAATTCCATTTCACATCCGTCATGGTCTGACATTCATGTTTCATCATGTTTCATTCCAGCTCTTTACGGGGCATTGGAGCATAGATCTTTAGCAGCAAGAGGTCATGCAGTAAGTGCATGTAAGTGCTATGCTAAGGATCCTCGATGCCATGGATTCCAAAATCTGGTGGCCAGGCATCCATGTTGAGATTTCTCTTCCTAGACATTGACATGATTGCACAATCTTGTGGCAACTCTGTACACTAGGAATGCAGGAAACACTGACTGAAGAAAAAGAACTCTCAATCCGTTTCAATCATATTGGAACTTAGCTAGCATCACATCCGGGGGTTTATGTACTGACAAAGCTGAAGACAGCCAACTTTTGCTTTGTGGCCATTGCGGCAGCATTCTTCGACTTTTGACTTACTCTCAGACTGGTCAAGATATGTCAAGACTGAAGATTCTTTTTTGCGGTTTCGAACGGTTTCGACGCCTACCCTCACTTTTCCAGGAGACACCGCGCTCACAAGGTGGTGGTGGTGGTGGTGGTGGCAGTGGTGAAGTCGGCTACGAGCCTTTTGCAAAGCAGCAGCCACAGAATGCTGGGAACATCTGGGAACATTGCATTGATGAAAGTCTCATAAAGTTTCAATTTCAATTAAGTATTTCTTGCTTTTGGAGGGCAGCAGGTTTCTAAACCGATTTCTCATACGTAGTTTCTCAAATTCTATCAGATTGTTCTAGTTCTGCCACCTTGATAGGCGTGAAGGTGAGACAAGTGCCATAATATTGGTTTTTACCTGATCTTAGCTGCTAAGATGTGAATCTTTGTCAAGGCCTTGGGTGGTGCAGTATGCCACTGACGAGGGTGGGTCTGGAAGCACAGCACAGATCTCAAACGGCCAGGAAAAAAATCTTTGCTTTGCATCGGCCTGGGGCATCCCTCGAATTCCCGCAACGAGAGACCGTGCAACAGCCTTTATGACTTTTACATACAATTACTATTAATTACTATGTTAATTAAAACCTATGGTTGTGGACATGAAGCATTTTCGTCATGAGACTCGCAGTCTTCCTTCTTGCCAGTCTTGCCATCTATTTTGTTCCAGCAGTAGCGCAGAGACTATTAGTGTCTTACCAAACTACAAGTAGATGTTTCATCTTTCAAAAGAGCTTTGTTGCATTCCCCGCCTGGTCTTGTTGCATGAGCTTTTTGATGCTTTTTGTCCAGCCTGTTTGCAAAGATACTCACCGTATGGCTTGTGATGACTTGTTCATCTCTCAATCCTCATTGCATTGACGTGGTATGTTAAACCCACCATCCAGGCACAATGCCTTCGATTACGAAGGAAAAGAGTTTGCATCAGGAGGCCCCAGTGGGAAGTACTGAGACGAGAAAAATGTGCGGATCATCGCATTCTGTCATCATTTTGCCATCATGAATAGATATATTATGATATATTATGAATTATTATTATTATTATATATTATTATATATTAATGAATTATAATTATAATGATAATATGATGATATATAGAAATAGTACCCATCAGCGTACACGCATGCATCATGTATCCTGATGTGCCGTTGGATTCAACATTGATACATGTCGACAGGGACATGCAATGGTGTCCATTCTTGAGTGTTTGCTTCCCGGTGTTTGGCTTTTAATCAACTCAGGGAATGTACAAGACGAGAAACTCTAATGATAATAACAATCTTCCAACATTGTTGCATTTCACCACGTCGCTTTTTTGTTTCCATGAATACTGGAGGAAAAAGATGTCTTCAAGTCATTCAATCTTCATCATTTGGCAAACAGTCGATCTTTTCTGATCATGTGATATTGATTGATATCATGTGTTCGGATTGTTCGGCATGGCAAGGCATGGAGATGGGTGGAGTCCAGGACTATGCGGACTACATGAACCAGTACGTGGCATGCTGAGATGAATCGGGGCTTTGTGTCCATGTTGTCCATCCACAAGACACTCCCATTTGGCGATAAGATCACCGAATATAACTCTTTTGTTCTTAACACATACATAATTTACATATATTTACATAATATAGATCTCTAAACGTACTTTGTCAGCACTGTGACTTTCCTTTCGGAGGTGCTATCTTTTTTTTTGGCTGCATCTCAACTCTTTTGTCCTGCCTAGTATAGTTCGCAGATAAAGAGGATTGGATGGTGATGACCATGCAGTCAAACTGTGTCCAAAGTTGCTTTTTGCTGGTTGTGATCTCAGGCTGGAGAATGGGTGCCAGCAGACAGCGACCAGAAGTTGCTCAACTTACGTTCAGTGTTTTCTTTGCAATCTCACTATATCTCACTGTCCACATAAACATTTTGCTCGATGTGGCAGTGAACTGGGGAGATGCCCACCAAAAAACGAAAATGCAAACATGCTGATTAAGCAAGTCTGAAGCAAGTCTGAAGCAAGTCTGAAGCAAGTCCGAACAGTCCAATGTTTCTGGAATTTGTGCAGAACTATAGTAATTACTCTGCTTGAAGCCGTCTTTGTGCTAGACTATTTAGGGAGCATCAAACATCTCAATTCCGCCTGTCTGTCATCTACAAAGGTCCTCAGAGCAGCAAGCGGATGCAAAGCAGACATTTGCGAAGCAGAAGTCTCAAACTGATGACAAGTCCAAGAAGGTAGGACCTGGCACATGCCTGGTAGAGCATATACTATGACTATGAGTATGGAGATATATCATACTATATTAATATTATATTAATTATATTATATTATATTTTATATTATATATTATATATTATATATTTTATATTATATATTAATATTATATATTATATATTATATATTATTTATTATATATTATATATTATGTATTATATATTATATATTATAATATTATATATTATATTATATTAGTGGTTTGAGTTGATGGTTTTGGGGGTCTGGAAAATTGTGACTTTTTTGATTTTTGTGTGGTCCAAACAGCCCATATTGTTATGTATATATACGTGTATATATGTATATATATATACAGTAAATGTAGATATATTTTGCATAGCCGTATGGTTGCGCTGCTTGCGCGGCTCGATGCTACCGCTTCGTAAGATTTCTCCACCGCTGTTGGCAGTGCCGAAGGCAACAGGAAGAGCTAGTCAAAAACAGGATTCTTTGATGTCTTCCACCGTACGTCTCTCTTTTGCTTGTTTGATTTCTTCGATGCCAAAAGCATCAAGTATCAGTAGAAGATATAGAAGGCAGAACAGCCGTTACGTCCTTTCCCCACACGTTTGGCAACTACGCAGCAAGCTTTCGGAGGCAACCCAGCAGACAGAGGAGAAGGATCAGAAACCAGACAAGCACAAGAAGTCTGCGGACGACGACAAGTCTAGATCCTCCAAGGCGGGATTTTGTAGAGCTATGCCTCTGGTATCCTATGGTTGTCAAAATCAATGCTCGCTCGATATATTATTAGGTGAATTGTCTTCTACATTGGAAAGGGGGACTATCGACGAGTCCACAATTGGGGCTATTCCTTTACCAGTAGTACCTCACAAGGCGGTTGCGGAAGTTTCAAAGATAGGATAGGAGAGGTGAGTTTTTGTGATGCATGGATGGCAAAGCGAACCCACTGATGGATTGAAAGGTGGTTGAGGCTCTCTCTCTCTCTCACCTTCTCTCTGTGTCTCTCTATCTCTGCCTCTGTCTATCTATTTGTCTATCTATCTACTGTATCTCTAGTGTAGTGCAGTTGTAGTGGTAGTGGTAGTTGTAATTGCAGTTGTAGTTGTAGTGCAGCGTAGTCTAGTGTAGTGCAGTGTACTTTACAGGTGGTGGTGTAACCACGTTTACTGTAGTGTGGTGTAGTGTAGTTGAAGCCTAGGATAGAGTAGTGTACTTGTAGTTGAAGTTGCAGTAGTTGTAGTTGTAGCTGTAGTTGTACCTGTAGGTGCGGTGTAGTGTAGCGTGGTGTAGCGTAGTGTGGTGTAGTGTAGTTGTAGTCTAGTGTAGTTGTAGTTGTATAGCTGTAGTTAGTAGTTGTAGTGTGTAGTCCAGATCCTCTTCAAACGTCCCACGTTTGCCATCGTTTTTGCACTTGCTAGGAAGCCCTCATGTTTTTCATTGTTTTCTATCTTTTGGCATGGTGCGGAACCCATTGCGCCTGCCACAGAAAGATGACGGTTCAACGTCCAAAAATGGTCCGAACATGTGGTGTGTTTTGCACATGTTGACTTCTCAATGTGCTTCGCGCCACAGCTGCGTGCAATTTTTTAACATCTCAACTTCCAAGAGTGGTCCGAACATGGTGTTTTTAGGATTTTCACTTTGAAACCTGCTTCGCGCCACAGCCACGTGCACTTTTTCAACATCTCAACTTCCAAAAGTGGTCCGAGACTGTCAGTTCTTAACATTCTTAACACTTTCGACTTGCGAATGTTCTTCGTGCCACAACGGGATGCACTTTTTCTCGACATCTCAACTTCCAAAAATGTTTTGGGAATGGGGTGTTTTGCAGCCGCGTGGACTTTTTGAACATCTCAACTTCTTACAGTGCTCCGATGCTGAGGTGTTTTTTATATGTTGACTTCTAAATGTGCTTCGTGCCACAACGGCGTGCTCTTTTTGAAGATTGAAACTTCCAAAAGCATTCCGAGAATGGTGTGTTTTGCGCAATGTGCTTCGCGCCTCAGCGGCGTGCATTTTTTTGTCTCTCATCTCCCCTGATGGCTCGGCACCCGCCGCTTTAGCGAGCCTACTTTTCGAGCCTCCGGAGCCACAAAACCTGGGAAAAACACAGTGTTTGGCGAATTTTCTACCTTTTCGCGCACCTGCATTTTCTTTCTTCTGACTCTTTCTCTTGTCTGACTCTTCACACCTCTTCTGCTTCATCTGTCCATAGTGTCGGAAGTTTGACTTCTAAACTTCGGTCATGAAACTATTTCTGTGCATGTGGGGTTGAGTCGAGGGTGCAATTTACTGGTTGATCCCACCCAACAGTTGTCATCCAAGGATGGCTTGTCATGTGTGACTGACCCTTGGGATCACGTTGTCCGCTGAGCCAGAGACTTTCTGCATATCTCGGGTTTGCTTTTGTCTGCTTCTCACTCGTTTACAGACCTTGGCTTGTAAAGACTTGGTGAAGCAGAAATGGTGTTGAAATATGTTGATTGTAGCAACATGGTCATTGTGCTCGCAGTTTCGCAGCAAAGTGTTGGAGGCGCAGCAGACACATGAAAGGGATCAGAAACTGCACACGCACAAGAAGTTTGCGAACGATGACAAGTCCAAATCCTTCAAGGCAGGATCTTTACCTGCCCGTGAAATGTTATACAGTACCTGGCAAAGTCAATCATTGGTTTCGTTCAATTTTTTTCGTGATTTTTAGGCTGGGAAATGTGGACATGTTTGCGGTGTTTTGCGGTTGGATGCTTCTGATTTCTCGATCTGTGCAGCCAGCGATGGATATAGGCTGTTGGGGTTCGATCCGCCTAAGTGGTTGTAGAGTTGGGGAATTCTGCTGGTGTTGTTCAAGAGCAGACACTGCTTTGTTTTGGAGCAGAGTTGAATCTTGCGATTATTGGTTGCATTGGTATGTTTCGGAAAATATATGAAGTCCACATTCTACAATGTGTCTATGTGCGTGTAGTGATCTCTCTCTTTCTCTCTCTCTCTCTCTCTCTGAGAGGTTGGACAATTTTCTGCAAGCTGCTTGAGGCAGTGGAGCGGCCAAAGGAGCCAAAGGAGAAGGATCAGAAAGCAGACAAGCACAAGAAGTCCGGGAAGGATGACAAATCCGCCAAGGTGAATTATGAATTGTTGATCTCCAGCAGCATGAGAGCAACAAAAGACCAGGGGTCAAGTCTTGATAGTTTCGCAACGAATGCAAGCGGCGCATAGTAGCACTTGCTGGGTAGTTCAGAGTCTAGAGTCTACAACTATCTACAACTATATTAGTAACTATATCAAGTACACACCTTGGTTTGTTTTGAAAGTGTCAATCGGCCTCTTGGACATAAGACACATTCTCTTTTGCCAACGTGATGATTCTAGTCAGTACCTTTACAATTCTTTACATGTTCGACGTATGTGGCAGGCAGTGGCCTTTCTGGAAAGCGCTGTCCCAGAGGTTCTGCGGGTGAGATTCTGCTAAGAGCATTCACTCCAAATCTGAAACGCTGCCGTCCCATCATGCTTTTTGTACACGGATCATTGCTTAAACAGAAGTATATAAACAGTATTGTGCATGCTTGCACGTGCAAGTCTATTCAGCTAGAAGAATATTTTTTTTGTTGAATGCACCCCGCTGTCTGAAGCTGCAACATACCTGAACAGAACATTCGATAAAAAAGTAAAGACGCTTTCCTCTAATATGCAATCTGTTATCTAATGCTACATTCGATAGATTGATGCCATCAGCTGAAAACAATGCACAGCTTGCCTTGACTCTTGTAGCTCTGCGCCAGGCTCTTGATACTCCACCGCACCCTGCACAGCCTGCGTTGCCCCGCTGGAGCATTGGAAAGAAGGTGGGCTCAGACTTCCATCAGGTGATGCATTGCCTTGCTGCAACTCGCAAACATGTCAATCACAATGTGCACACACTAGACAAGAATGGATCATTATATGATCCGGCAGGAACTGAATCCTGAAACATGCAGATTAGACAGGAGCCGAATTAATATACGACATATATATATAGATCACAGTGGACAATGACAGTATAAAACAACAGCGAAAAATATATTATGTCCCCCCAGCTGCGTCTTAAATGCGCCCAGGGCGGGACAGGCAGGTACGTTTACCTGATCTCCAGTGTGGAGCTTCGTTGGCAGAGGCCACAACTGGAGATCCCTCTGCCCCCTGCCATATATAATATAATATAAGGACGAAGTTTTACGTCTATTCAGACGATACACACACACCCTGCCTCCGGCAGGGTGGTGCGCGTAAAAATGAGATGAAAGTGAGGATGAACGGGGGATGAAAATGAGATGAGAGTGACAATGAGATGAACGTTACTTAACCAGGACGCGAAGAGGGGAACGCAAAAGAAGAGGGAAGGAGCAAACACACACCAACACACCTAGCCCGGAGCGGGCGAACCCTGAAAAGGCAAGGGAAAAGAAAAAAGCGGAGGGTCGACGGACACGGACCAAGACCAGCGGAGGGGGGGGAAGACGGAAGCGCCTGAACCAACCTGCCAAAGCGAAAACCTACAAAACCTCAGCACGCGACGGAACCAACCTACCTGGGGAGGGAGGAGAGCATGAGATAGGGGACCAATGGGGAACTAGTTAGTGAAAAACAAAACCAAAAGCAGGATTCAGTCCCTAACAGCCTAAAATGTCGTGCGATTATTCCCTGCACCGGGACCGTGGTCAAGTCGTGCCCCAATGGCATAAAACAGCTGTCAAGTTCCATCGAATTAGATGCACAAAATGTTTAACCTCACCAGACAACCATCAAAAGAAAGAATTACCACACCTGAAAGTCGTGTGCCTGCCTGTAGCTCGTCACATGGGCATGTTTCACTTCAAAAGCTTGAGCTGTAGTGATCGAAAAAAGAGCGTTTCTGGTTGTTCCGCAAGACTTCTCTCTGAAGAATGCATCACTCAAGGTTCTCATGGGACCACAGGAGCAGCGGGACACTTGAAAAGGCTGATGAACCGCAAGGCTGATTGTTGCCCTTTACTTAAACGAATTACTAAGTTAAAATGTGTGAATTCAGAATTCCAGACTGTCGACACTCACCCTGAAGAGGGTTGCCTCAAATGGCTCCATGGCACCATGTCGGAGCCACCATGGAAATCACACTAGACAAGAATGGATCATTATATGATCCGGCAGGAACTGAATCCTGAAACATGCAGATTAGACAGGAGCCGAATTAATATACGACATATATATATATAGATCACAGTGGACAATGACAGTATAAAACAACAGCGAAAAATATATTATGTCCCCCCAGCTGCGTCTTAAATGCGCCCAGGGCGGGACAGGCAGGTACGTTTACCTGATCTCCAGTGTGGAGCTTCGTTGGCAGAGGCCACAACTGGAGATCCCTCTGCCCCCTGCCATATATAATATAATATAAGGACGAAGTTTTACGTCTATTCAGACGATACACACACACACACACAAACACATGCGAATTTGATTGCACAACGTGCACACTAGAAAGAAATGAATGAGATTGAATGAGCACAAAGATCACAGGAGCATGGTGAAGGATGTCCATGGATGTCCTACCATTTGTATCCATTTGTGCAGCTGCCGTAGCTGCTTCGCTGCCAACATGACGATGCAGCTGTCAGGAGATCAAGACACACGAAGTGCCACACCCAGCACAACCCGTGCTGCCGCAGCTGCAGAGCAAGGTCGCCAAGGCGGAATGGACAATATAGGTTGTGTTTGTTGTGTCGTTATTTATAGGTTTATAGTACAATATTTTTTGATATTTTTTAAATACACATTTAATGATATTCACAGATAGTTGCTGTTTGCGGTTTGTGTTGCGTGTTACTCAGTTACTCTATGTTACTCTCTTTTTTCTCTGGTGAGTTTCCTTCTCAGGGTTATGTACATACTGGTAACGTCCGAGTCCCGAAAGGAGGCTGTGGCAGAAGTGAGACATGCGGTGAAGAAGTTGCAACAGGCAGCGCAGGACGATCACGGTTCGGCTGCACGGGTCTGGACGGGTTTGTAGTCACTGTAGTTGGAAGATGTGGCAAGTACCGCTGGATCTGCTGCCGTTGCGACTGTTGAGTGATTTTAGCAGGGCCTTGCACAAGTACACATTTCATAAACAAAATAAACAAATACATGTGTCCCAGCCAGTCATCAGAGCGCAGGATACATCCTATGCAGCCTGGACTTTGGCAAAACACTCTCCACCTCCCAAGCAGACAGAAGAACAAAAGCAATTGGCGGAGGCGATGTCACGCTTGTGGTGACTTGGCCTCGTCAGTCTGTTCTTGTGCCTGGAGACACCATAGGATTCAGAATAGCCAGAGACTGATGAGGACCAGAATTCGCAAAAATGCAGCATGGACTGAGGACCCCATATTTTTTTCAGAAAAGGCTCGTCCTGCAGCTTCAGTTTAGCGATTACAAGTGATTGCTTACTATTACAATCAACATGCGATTATACTTACCTGTATCCAGAATTCTTCAGCTTTGTTTCCTGGAAGGCAATGGAAATGGCTTGTATGGGGCTAGACGGGAACTGAAGAGAGAAGTGTTTAGCAGTTTTATCGCTAGCATTCAAGGAGTCAGATTGCTGGCAAGCAGAATCAGTCACCAATCAGTGTGAGAATATCGTCTTTTTGCTGAGTAACTCAGGACCATGCACTTTTGAAATGAAGCCAATTATCCAGCAGCGCAATTGCGCTGCTGTTGAATTCATGACTATGAATCTTCTAAAGTTCGCCAGGTTCCATCCATCGGCCACACAACAGTTTCATTAAACGATTCTGAAATGAGTTTCAGTTTTGGAATGTCCGATAGTTCAATTCACTTCCGTGTTGGATCCTTAGTCTTGCAAACAGCATCCATCTGTTGGGTACACCAAGGAAGGTGACGCGGGAGCCTTTGACTGACAAGTCCTTGCAGGATTGGGATTTCATTTTGTTGGCTGCTTCGGTAAATTTCAGTGTGGATGTCCTGTAATGTCGTCTTTGCATAGGAGTGCCCCTGTGACTTTCAATTCGGCCTGCAGTCATGGTAGATGATTGTTGTCCATTCCTGCTACTGTAGGTGGTGCAAGAAGCTAGCTCAATCAAAGGGCCGCCGCTGTAATCATTCACTAGACATTGCATGATGTATATCCATCTCGATTTTATCTCTCTCTATCTCTTTTGTGCTGGCTGTACAAAGCTCTCAAGGAGCTGGAAAATGCAGGGCGCACAGCATCAAGTGCAATCGCAAGGCGCCGCCTTGCGCAAGAGCGGAAGAGAAGCACATGCGATAGACATCGGTAGACTATTCTGCCTCAGTGTCTCGAAGTTACTTGCGATGTGGGGATTCCCTGTGTATTCAAAAAGGCTCAGTGTTCGGTGGCAATTTTGTGGACTTCAGAAGTGGTATATCTCAGTGGTGCAAGTTCAACAGACTTGGTATTTGCTTGTTTCATCCTCACTGCTTTCTTCTTGGCTGATGGCTGCCAGCATTCAACGTTCGACGCATCTCAGGAGATGTTGCAAGGAAAGTGAAGTGACAGAAGTGAGTCGATGTGAACTGTGTGTGAACTGTTTGTCCTTGCTCCATTTTGCTCCATCTTGCTCCCAACATTCGCAATACATTCACATCACGCGCCATGCCGCAATGCAGGCTGCAAGATGCAGAGATGCAGCAGCTTCGGCATAGCGCCACGAGCACCCGTCAGAAGCTCTTGAAGGCGAGACACGGTGAAACAGGGCGGACCTCAGATCGGATTGGTCGGATTGGTCGGATTGGTCGGATTGGAATGGAGTGCTTTGGGGTGTTTGGCCATGAGCAGTGATCTGAAGTGTCCTTGTAATTATGCCGGATGACTACCTTGGCAATATAGCTATATAGTGCAATGTTAAGCATAGCTAACCACCTAGGCCGAACCTTTTGTGGCCAGGACCAATCTGGAAGCGATCGAGAGTACAAACACATAATCATAATATCTCACATGACTCATTTCTTGACCGCAATGCAAATTCGTGCCATTTTCTTGATTTTAGCATGGGTAATGCCAGATAACGCCTCATTTTTGGCATCCTTTCGGGGGGATTGAAGGACAAAAGCTCTTGCAATTTTCTGCCCAGGGTGCAAGAGACTGGTCAGACCAAGTTCAGCGAGATGCTCGAAAGCAGGTAAGTCCCCGACATGACACATCTTGCGGTTTCAACGCTGCTAGAACTAACAACATAATCGAAGAAAGTTTAGATGTCAAACTTCCGACAATATGGACAGATGAAAAGCAGAGATGGGCAGAGTCAGAGAAGAGAAGAGAAGAGAAGAAGAAAGAAGATCAAAACAGAGAAAGTCTCCGAAGAAAGAAGATCCAGGTGCACGAAAAGGTAGGAAATTCGCGAAACACTGTGTTTTTCCAATGATTTGTGGCTCCGCAGGGTCGAAAAGTAGGCTCGCTAAAGTGGCGGGTTCGGAGCCATCTGGCCAGATGAGAGATGAAAAGTTGCACGCCGTTGTGGCGCGAAGCACATTTCCAAGTCAAAATGTACAAAACACCTCATGTTCGGACCACTTTTGGAAGTTGAGATGTCCAAAAAGTGCACGTCGTTGTGGCGCGAAGCACATCTCCAAGTCAAAATGTACAAAACACCTCATGTTCGGACCACTTTTGGAAGTTGAGATGTCGAAAAAGTGCACGTCGGTTTGGTGCGAAGCACATTTCGAAGTCAAAAGTGTAAAAAACTGACGGGCTCAGCGCACTTTTGGAAGTTGAGATGTTTAAAATTTGCACGCCGTTGTGGCGCGAAGCACATTTCTAAGTCAAAAGTGCAAGAAATTGAGGGGGACGGAGCACTTTTGGACATTCAGATTTTGCTTCGCGTGGCAGGCGCAAGGGATAGTGCACCGTGTCAAAAGTGAGCAAAACGTGAGGGTTTTGTGGCATTTCCAAAAACGATGGCAGGCGTGGGACATTTGAAGAGGACCTGCAAAGATACATTCTCTGTGGCAGGCGCAGTACACGAGACATCTTCATCAGAGATGTTATGAGGTCCAGGTGCTGATTTCCTGAGAGGGGTTGCATTTTGGAGCATCAGATCTTCAGTTTTGGGAAGATGATTTTGCGTGACAGGTGCAGCGCTTCGTATGGCCTGGCCTCACTTTTTCGTGGCAGGTGCAAGACTTTAGACAGGTGGAGTGGAAAAATCGCAAAACGCATTGGTACGAGGCCGTTAGCTCTGCACTCAACTTTCCATTTTTGAAGGAAGTTTCACGCAAAATTGCTTCGTTTTTGATGTTGTCAACTTCGAAACATGAGGAAGTCTCGCAGAATTGATCAGAATTGTTTCGTTTTTAACGTTGTCAAGTTCAAAATTAGGGAAGTCTCGCAGAGTTGCTGCGTTTTTTGATTTTGTCAAGTTCAAAAACTGAGGAAGTCTCGCATAATAGCTTTGTTTTCAAGCTTGCAGATAGACAGATAGCTAGATAGACAACTACAACTGCAACTAGAACTGCAATTACAACTACAAGTACCACTACACTACACTACACCACACTACACTACACCACACTACACTACACTATTACAACTACAAGTGCAAATATATTAATTATGTTATGTTACAAATTACACAACACTAATCACATCTAATTACATCTAATTATGCTACACTACACTAGCTACACTAATTACACTAATTACGCAACAACAACAACAACAACAACAACAACGAGGATGACAACGACGACGACCACTACTACTACCAGTACTACTACCACCGCCGCCACCGCCACCGCCACCACCACCACCACCACCACCACCACCACCACAGCTACAACTACAATTACACCTACACTTCATTACACTACAATACACTAATCAAACGGCAGTACGTTACAGCTACAAATGCAAATACACCTACAACTACACTACATTACACAACACTGCGCTACACTAGTTACATTACATTACACTACAACTGCAACTACCACTACATTGCACTAGACGACACTACACTACAACTACAGCTACACTACTTTACACTACAATACGCTAGACTACACTACACTATACCACGCTACAGTACACAACACTACAGTACACTACAATACACTACACTAATTTCACCACACCACAACTACAACTGCAACATCTGCAACTGCACTACACTAATTACACTACATTACAACTACAACTTACAACTACACTACAACTACAACCACGCCTACAACTACAACTACAACTACAACTGCGCCACACCACACTACATCCAACAGTTGTGGTGAGGTGACCACTGCAACCATTGCAACCACTCCAGAAAACACAACTCCAACCACCTTTCGGTCCATCAGTGGATTCGCTCTGCCATCCGTGAGTCACAACAACCAACCCTTCCTATAGGTTTCCTATTTTTGAAACTTTCGCCACCGCCTTGCGCGGTACTACTGGTATAGAATTAGCAGGCATAAGCAATCATAGACATGTATGGGAACTAATTGAAGCAGTCCGAGAAAACTGCTAGCAGATTATGTCTTAAAATCAGCACCGAAGTTTCCCACAGTCTAATTGGGAGTCATCCAGAAGGAGCAATCAATGTTTCTCTTAGCTAAACCTCATTGATCCATATTGATCCTCATTGAGTTGAACAGTGTATGTTTGGATGTGATCCTTCGTCTGTATGCAATGACAGCAGCCCAATCTGCTCCAAGAATTCAACTCGGTTGGAGAGGTAAATCTGGTTACCCAACGTCAAACAGATTTGATTTTGGCCAGGAAAACGAACAATTGGCACAAGAAGCAAGGCAAGCTGGTGCACAGTTGGAAAAGACCACTTCTCAGCTTATGATTCGATGGCCATGGTGCACTTTTGACAAATCTGGTTTTTTTTGGCACTATTTGGGAAACCTAGAAGAATAGAGATATTGATGATATAGAGTTTTTTTTCCAAATTCCCTGCATCCTATAGCGCTCTTCTCAGCTAAAATTTTTACACGATTTTTAGTCTTTATATATTTAGGGGAATCACATAAATGCGATTAAAACGGTCTGAACCACCACTGAAAGAAACAGAGACAGATCCTGGCCCCATTGGAAAAACGCAGCCACTCCTGGCCCCAAGGTCTCTCTCGGATGCTCTCAGCGACAGAGCTCAACAGAAAGCACAGGAGATTGGATCAAAAAGTGCAAGGGTGTCCAACAACGTGCGATTTTGTCCGTGCGATGTCTTCGCAAGACAACATTGCACTTCGAATGTCACACAAAATGGGACCAGAATGATTCTTTGTTGCGCATTCTTCACCTCCTCCTGCTGCATAACCAATGTTTCCGCCTGGTTGACATCAGAGATCCGGGGTCTGAGCAGGAACTACTACTTCATGCTCAGCAACGAAAGAAGCTGCTGCAGGGAGTTCTTGGTGAGGCCAGGCGTCTTGGAAAGCGATGGGGGTCTTGAAAGATCTTCAGAAAGCAGAAAGCATCAGAAAGCACTGTGATAACATATTGGTAACCATACAGGCATGGCAACCCTTGTGGCAATCCTTGTCTGTTCTACCGATGCCTGTGAAATTTGCTTGCTTTCTTGCGCCTGGTTCCAGACCCTCGCGCGCAGAAGCGACCAGTGTGTAGAATGTATTTTAACGTATGTGTGTGTATATGATGTTGAATGGGTATCCGATATATTCCGATTCCGATATATTGGTATTGATATATATATATATATGTACATTGGAATGGAACTCCTCCATACCTTTGAAAACTCGAGGCAGTGGATGTTGCTCAGATGTTGCAGAAGGATTTAGGCAGCACAGCTCCAGAAGCGGTCCCAAAGCTGGCAAAGGCAGTGGAACCCCGGGCTGGTTGTTGGGCCGTTGCAACAGGTTCACCAGATCTTGGTGCAGATTTCACCGGAACCGCAAAAACGTTGCATCTTTTCTCAATTCTCTTGAAGTTCAAGTCAAGCTGAGTCAAGCTGCAAAGATCTGCTAAGCTTCAGCTGTCTTCGGGGGCACGTCGGTGTAGGTGTCACCCGCGCAGGTTGAAGCTGAAGAAGCTACAGAAGAACCAGAGAGGTGCAGATCATGCAGCAATCATGAGATGAATTGAGATGATTTGGGATGGCCAGCCAGTGCAGTTTCTTTTCCTTGAGTGATATCTCTGCTTCCCACGTTTCGGTCCACTACCTCTAGGCAGAGCTTGACCACTGACAAGCTGAAGGCAACAACGGGCAGCTTGGGTGTGTTGGCTATTGGGAAGTCCCTGTTCATTATTTGTTCATTGTATATAGATCATGACAGATCATTGCAGATCATTATACGGTAATCACATTTAAATATGTGGTGGCCGGGCCAGGGCAGTCAGGCTCGGAGGTAGTATGAAATACCAGTTCTGTACGTATGTTTAAATGGTAGGGCCCACTCCGCATGTTTAAAAAATTGCAAACCACAGGGAATACATGCAGGTAAATGGTAAATGGTCCAAATATATGGTGCTGATGATTTGGAACACTCTATGAGTCGAGTTGTTAAAGTTAGACCCAAAACAATGGTATTGAGAGCGGCCTGTGGGATTGCTACAGAATCATCAGATGGAAATGGTTGTACGGTACTATACGATTTTGGCTTTGGTGGAAATTCCTTTCATTAAAAATTCGAACTGGGTGGAAGCGCCTGGCTAGAAATTGCTTGCTTCTCTCTTTCTTGCAAGAAATGTCCTAGGTGGAGTTCCTGGGTGGAAGTTCCTTGCTTCTTGGGTGGAATTCCTAGATGAATTCCCTAGGTGGAATTTCGCGGGTGGTGGTGGAAGTTGCTTGTTTCCCGCTTTCCGCGGAAAAAAAAACCTAGGTGGGATTTCTTGGGTGGGGTATCCTGGCTGGCAATTCCTTGCTTTCCTTTGTCTTGGGGAAAAATTGCCTAGGTGGACTTACCTGGCTAGAAATTGCTGGCATCTTTCTTCCTCAGCAAGACTTACCTGGGTGGGGTTTTGTGAGTGGAAATTCCTTAGTTTCCTGTTGTCTGGTTGCAAGTTACTTAGGTGGAGTTTCCTGGGTGGAAGTTCCTTGCAGTGCTCCTGCTCCTTCTTGGAATTCCCTCTTTGGAATTTAAGGGATTTGCTGGCTTCCCTCTGTCTGCAGAGAAATTCCCTAGGCCCTAGGTGGAGCTTCTTGAGTGGGGTATTCTAGCTGGCAATTCCTTGCTTTCCTATGTCTCGGGGATAAATTGCCTAGGTGGACTTACCTGGCTAGAAATTGCTGGAATCTTTCTTCCTCAGCAAGACTTTCCTGGGTGGAGTTTTGTGAGTGGAAATTCCTTAGTTTCCCGTTGTCTGGTTGCAAGTTACTTAGGTGGAGTTTCCTGGGTGGAAGTTCCTTGCAGTGCTCCTGCTCCTTCTTGGAATTCCCTTTTTGATTCCTTTTTGGAATTTAAGGGATTTGCTGGCTTCCCTCTTTCTGCAGAGAAATTTCCTAGGTGGAGTTTCTTGGGTGGGGTATCCTGGCTGGCAATTCCTTGCTTTCCTTTGTCTTGGGGAAAAATTGCCTAGGTGGACTTACCTGGCTAGAAAGTGCTGGAATCTTTCTTCCTCAGCAAGACTTTCCTGGGTGGAGTTTTGTGAGTGGAAATTCCTTAGTTTCCCGTTGTGTGGTTGCAAGTTACTTAGGTGGAGTTTCCTGGGTGGAAGTTCCTTGCAGTGCTCCTGCTCCTTCTTGGAATTCCCTTTTTGATTCCTTTTTGGAATTTAAGGGATTTGCTGGCTTGCCTCTTTCTGCAGAGAAATTTCCTAGGTGGAGTTTCTGGGTGGGGCATCCTGGCTGGCAATTCTTTCCTTTTCTTTGTGTTGGGAACCAAATCCTAGGTGGAGTTTCCTGGGTGGGACATCCTGGCAGCTTGGCGTCGTTATGGTGAAAATTTTCCGATAGGTGGAATTACCTGGCTAGAAATTGCTGGCGTCTTTCTTCATCGCCCAGACTCACTTGGAAAGGACCCTCGGGACACCGAGATGTTTCAAAACAATTGCTGGAAAGACCAAAAATGTGAAGCGCAGTACGGTGGCACAGAGGCTATATGTATCAGAGGATTAATGACTGCTATGTGTTCTTTATAGCAATTTATAACAACCATAAGTGGGCCCTTGTTGTGCGATACTGGTGATATAAAATATCTTGGTGGAAACTTATGTGGAATCCTATGTGTAATTCTATGTGGGAGGGAATTCACACTGAGCCGAGTCACTTCAGGGTATTCAAATTCCTTGGCAAACTGCGGAAATGAAGTTGTTGGAAAACTACGCTGGAAAACCATGGAAAAGCATTGGTGGAAAACCATGGAAACACCTTGTCAAAGGCACGGAAAAAAACGGTGGAACATCATGCAACATTATTTTGGGCGGAAACCCATGGACACACCCTGGTGGAAAACCATGGAGCACTCTGATTGGGAAACCCATGGAAAACTTTTGGTGGAAAACAACGGAAAAGCATTGGTGGACAACAAAGGAAAACCGCTGTTGGAAAACTGCAGACAAAATGATGGAACACTTGGAAAAAAACCATTGACAACATCTGGTGGAAAGCCACGGAGAAACAATATCCACTGACTTTTGATTAGGGGCTTGCCGGTACCCTTGCACCATGCGCCAAGTCACATCTGGATATTGGCATTCCTCGATTGGCTCCTTGCCAACCGCTGTTTCTTCAGCTGGCGCCTGTCTATGCTTTGAGCATGCAACCCCAATTGCATGCCATTTTCTTCCAAGATTTTCACAACCGGTCCAAACTTTTGGTTCGGCCATGCTTAGAGGAGTGGGGGCCTGACAGCCCCAAAAAAGTATTGGGTCTACAGTATATAAGTCTAATCATGATTATCTGTAAATGAAAAAAGTCTCCCCCCAATCTAGGCTCTAAAAAATGTCGCGTGGGCCACCCTTGCGCCGTGTGACTTCTGGCGCCGTACCCACTGCAGCAGGCGTCTCTTGACAATCACAACTCTTCGCAGTCACAACTTGAAGCTAAAAGTGTATGGTTGCACCCTTGTCCTTTGGTGGAAACATCTTCTAGGTGGAAATGTCTTGTGTGGACCTGTGGGCCCCGCTTTGGTGCTGCCGACCCTGCCCCATATAAGCCGAAATTGTTTCACGAATCAAAAAGGCTTGAGCCCTGACTGCTCATTGTATTCTAAAACAATGAAAACTTTCATGTTGCAAGACTTTGAAAACCGGTCCCAACTTTTGGTTCGGCCATGCGTTGAGGAGTGGGGGCCTAACAGCCCGAAAAAAACATACGTACGTATTGGATCTAATAATTACGGTTTTTGTAGGTGGGAAAAAGTCTGCCCTCTAAGCCATAGAAAAGCCGTCGGACGTCCTTGCGTCATGTCACTTCTGGAGCCGTCTTAGCTGCAGCAGGCGTCTCCATTGCAGCGGGCTTATCGGCCATAGAACTCTTCGCAATCGCCTCTTGAAGCTAAAAGTGTGTGGAAACATGTTCTAGGTGGAAATTTCTTAGGTGGACCTGTGGGCCCCGCTTTGGTGCTGCCGATCCTGCCCCATAAATGCTGAAATTGTTTCACGAATCAAAAAGGCTTGAACCCTGACTGCTCATTGTATTCTAAAACAATGAAAACTTTCATGTTGCAAGACTTTGAAAACCGGTCCGAACTTTTGGTTCGGCCCCGAGTATGGAGTGGGGGCCTAACAGCCCAAAAAAAAGTATTGGATCTAATCACATATCCCTGTAGGCGGCAAGAAACAAAAACGTCTGCCCGCAATCAAGGTCCTAGAAATACCGCCTTGAAGGCCGGGTCACTTCTGCAGGCGTCTTCCCTGCAGCAGGCCCATCGGGCTTAGAGCTCTTTGTAGTCGCCTGCTGAAGCGCAAACTGTCTCCTGATTCCTCTGGTGGTAACTGCTTTGTGGTGGAAAAGTTCTTAGGTGGAGGGTACAGAACCGAACAGCCCTGTAAGTAGAGTTCGCAAGATATTTGGAAAATCAGCCCCCCAAAAAAACAGCAGAAGTCGGGTAAAAACTAAATGTTTTTTGTCGGACCTTGTTCGGTTAAAAGGCCACAAACGGTTTCGAAAAGTATTTACGGTACATTTTATATGGTTCATTTTATGTTTTTTATTTATTTTTTGTGTGTTTTGAGATTGTTTTCCTCCCACATCGCCGTAATAAAATCATAAAAAATAATAAAACAATAATGTAATTTTCATAAATGCTGATGATTTTTCAATGAAAATTGTTACGTATGATTTTTCATTGTTTTCCACAAAAAAACAAATCATGAAATTTTCAGTCAATAATAATTTATTAAAAAACATAAATGTGTGTAATATTTGTTTTTTTAAAAAAATTGGATTTTTAAAGGTTTTTTTTGAAAACGTAGTATGAATTTATTATGGCGACGTCGGCGGAAAAAAAATAAACAAAATCGACAAAATAAGCTAAAACAAATCAAACAATAATCAAAACAAAATCATACATCCCAAAAAATAATTTTCCAATTCATAAATCCAAATCACGAACAAATCATTATAAAGATTTTACGTAAAAGAAAAATACTTTAAAAACTGTTTTTTTTTAGCATTCCGCAAGCTTTCAACAATAGCAAAATCAGGTAAAGCGAGGGCGTTTTTACCGGATCTTGTTCCGGAAACGGGCCGGCAAAGCTGTTTAGGAAAATATTTTTTGGATATTTTTGGCTGTTTTTCCAAAAACGCGTTTTTATGGCTGTGTTAAATATAGGAAAACGCAGGTAAAATGACAAAGTTTTTTCCGGAACTTGTTCCGGAAAACGGTGGGCCAAGCCGGCAAGCAAAGGAGGAATCGTCAAAATTCAAAATCTCGCAATTTTTTGGACTTGCCAAAAGTAGCAAAATCATGGGTTTTTGCTGCGTTCTTGTTCGGTACAGAAGAAGCAAAAGTCGCAAAATGAAAGTTCAAATTCGAACGGGCATCGTTTTCTAACAGGAAACAAATCTTACCTTGTATAGAACCTTAAGGATTTCTGAAGGTTCGAATAGATTGCCGCGCAAAACTATGTTTGATGGTTCTATTTTCGAGTTCCCTCCTGCTAAAAACACTGCGATTTTGCCTGTGTTTGGCTTTGTTTCCCGTATGTAAAAGAAAAACGGCGGTAAAAAGCCAAAAATATTAAACACAGCCAAAAATTTCCCGTATTGGCATTTTACCTGCGTTTTCCTATATTTAACACAGCCATAAAAACGCGTTTTTGGAAAAACAGCCAAAAATATCCAAAAAATATTTTCCTAAACAGCTTTGCCGGCCCGTTTCCGGAACAAGATCCGGTAAAAACGCCCTCCCTTTACC